GGGGCAGCAGGTGACCCGCAACCACAGATCCAGACTCCACAGCTCCAGAGCCAGAAACACCTGCAGGAAGTGATAGGAGGAGAGAGGAGAGGGACGAGAAAGCACAAGACTACCGGAAAGGGGAGTTGTTGTGTTAGTAACATGCAATAATGGGATGAGGTTGCATACAGAGGGAGAGAAAGTAGAGGAGAGAGGAGCCCAGTGCATCATGGGAAATCCCCCGGCAGTCTAGGCCTATAGCAGCATAACTAAGGGATGGTTCAGGACTCACCTGAGCCAGCCCTAACTATAAGCTTTATCAAAGAGGAAAGTCTTAAGCCTACTCTTAAATGTGGAGATGGTGTCTGCCTCCTGAACCCAAACTGGAACCTGGTTCCACAGGAGAGGAGCTTGATAGCTGAACGCTCTGGCTCCCAGTCTACTTTTGGAGACTCTAGGAACCACAAGTAACCCTGCATTCTGGGAGCGCAGTGCTCTGGTGGGGTAGTAAGGTACTATGAGCTCTTTAAGATAAGATGGTGCCTGACCATTAAGAGCTTTGTAGGTAAGAAGAATGATTTTAGCCACAGCAGCACCGCAAATCCTGTTTACTTTCTGTCGCCACACAAGCACGGCACATTATCAGCACGAGGACACGTAGTGTTTCTTCATTGCCTTCATGTTAAAAGTAATTTCTGCCCCGCTGCTGTCATGGTAATGTAACGTTACACCGCAAACTATCAGCTGCTTCATATTTTCTGTTTATTTAACGGTCAGGTATGTGCGAGAAAACAGCTGAATCAGAATTCTGTGACAGTCTGAGTCCTTTCAGGTGTTCACTGATGCAGAGATGCATTTTATTATCATTCTGCATTACTCAATATTGAAATGAATCCATGGCAGAAACATTTAAAGTTTTAAGTAAAGTAGCCTAATTAATGTCTGTTATTATCACAACATCAGTGACGTGGAAATTTGATTCATTTTAAGATTTGCTGTTATTGTCATTATTCTAATGTGCTTCATCAGGATGATGGAATAAAATATAGATTTATTGATTAGGCATGTTTTTGATATTTATTTTGGATAAATTGGTATGTTAATAGAGTAATAGGCAACTTTTCTTTCTTTAGAATAAACAAAATTAGTCGTTAGATTAATCGAGTAATGGACTTCAAAAATAAGATATGTACAGCCCTACTCAAAAGTAAAAACAGAGCCCTTGTTCAGTCTCTGTGTGTTTCTCTGCTTGCGTATCCTTCTCACCTTTTTTACCCTTGACCAGTTTACATGCCTGAATGAAGCACGGCTCCAAGGCTGCAGGTGTTTTTATCACCTCTGACAAACACAGTGGCTGTGCGTGCAGTACGGTCGCTCTCTACTGGTTTGGCTTTGTGGAGACATGTGGGGAAAATGAGCAACTCTGCATTCGCCTGTGTGTGCGAGAGTACAGTTTTGTGTGTGTAGAAGTGTTGTGCGTGTGTTCCACCACAGATTGTTGTTTCCTGCGAGGGAACATGACTAACAAGACGTTATCTGTGGAATGACAGGAAGAGGGAGTGATGGTTAACAGGCTGCTTCCTGCAGCACAAACTCTTTTCCCTGTGTTTCCACCTCACCACTCCCCTATTCCTGAGGCCAAGACCAATGTTTGGACTCTAGAAAAGGGGAGTGGTGACTAAACCGCTTGGGGGGTGATGGTACAGTCGATAAGACACATGCCTTTGGTTTGAGAGACCCGGGTTCAATTCCCCACTGTGACACATCCATCAGTGTGATGAGCAAGATACCTAACCCCTAGTTGCTCCAGAGGAGTGCCTCTGACATATATATCAATTGTAAGTCTCTTTGGATAAAAGCGTCAGCTCAATGATTGAATATAAACACAGTACAATGACTGCTGCATTCATAACTGCTGATAATACTGCATCATTATACATACAGAAACGGATGGTGCTTGTGAACACAACTATCAGCCTCACAAATGGCATTTCCTTCCAAGATCTGCTGTTTTGGATGGTTAAAGTGTGTATATATAAGTTGACTTGGTCTGTGCCCGTGCTTGTGGTGAAACTGTAGACACAGCAGATTTGTGGCTGTGTTCCATTCGGTATGCCGTGTGACCCTGGTTGAATAGGAGTCACCACACCGTATGTATGCCGTATGTAAATAAGAGACTGGTGAGTCCTGCTGTACCAGTGCTGTCCAGCTTCTGTGCTGACTAACACACTGTAGTCTTACATATATATGTAAGCACTTTGTCAAGGCAGCAGTAATACAGCAGCGGGTTTCCTTGTTGTCTTTCTTTCTGTTAGTAGTCACTTAAAATTCATTCCGCCGTTGGTTGTCGAGGTGGTGTCCAGCAAACGATGTGGGCTTTGTTGATCATTGGCAGACTTTCTGGGGAAGACCTGGTCTGATCCGGAGAGACGGCATCCATCCCACTTGGGAAGGAGCAGCTCTCATTTCTAGAAATCTGGCCAAGTTTATTAGTGGACCAAATCCATGACAACCCAGAGTTGAGACCAGGAGGCAGAGTCGCAGTCTAACACACTTCTCTGCTCCTCCATTTCAGGAGTTACTTAGTGAAAATCCTATAGTGACGGTGTCTGCCCCCCGACCGTCGAAATTATTTAAAAAGGTAAACAGAAGAGGAGCTGTGCATAAAAACCTCATAAAAATTAAAACCACAAGAGCAATAGTGCAAACAAATAGGAGAGTTAAATGTGGACTCTTAAACATCAGATCTCTCTCTTCTAAAGGTGAACTAGTAATCACTGTTATTATTATTAGGAGTAGTAGTAATAGTTATATATAGTTTTTTTTTATAGTTTCTGTTTCACTGGCCCCCATAATACATACTTTATTGACTGTAGTTTAGTTAAGAAATAAGATGTTTTAAAATGTGTTCTGTAGTTTTATACATTTGACACTTTAATCAACACTCAACATAACCAATGTTAGGCATAATCTTTCTTTATGTCATGCGTTTCTTAAAATAAGGAGAAATAATAATATTGGCCGATATATCGGCATATCAATCCTCAAATATCCAATTCATATCGCGCTTAAGAATCCCTTGTCGGTCGGGCTCTAAAAAATATAGTTTAGAGGAGCTTAATATTTGAACTTTGAAAACTGTTAATATTAATGTTGGTGCCCACCTTCCAGGCTCCACGTCTCTCTGGGCCTGTCAGTCCAACTACTCATCTATCCCCGTAGCTCTTTGACATGGTATTCACTCTCCACAGGCCAACGGCTTGTGAGGTGTACAGCTCTTGTACAGGATTAGTTGGTGTGTCCTTATTCTAAAGACTTATTGTCTGGAATGCATATCCAATCTTTTTTTTCTTATTTGGTTTTTAAAAGCAAACTGAAGAGAAAAATACAATGCTTGAATAAAGCCAGATGGTGGATCAGGAAATAATAGTACCTAAATGTTGGCTGTGATTGTTAAGGGAGTGAAGGGAAAGCAGCAGGACGGTGTGCAGAGGAACAGACAGAGGAAGGAGCTCTCCAGCCTGTCGACCTTTGAACTTGCGGACGCCGCCTCTACCTGGCCATGGCATCTGGCCTGCGCAGGAAGTGCTCAGAGCAGTCCGTTGGATGGGAGCAGAAGCAGGTGGGAGGAGTCTGCTGTTATTTTTAGTCTCTCCTCCCTCCCGGGGCTAGGCTAATCCGCCGCTGCACAGGCTTATCCAGATTGGAGGTGGGACACCGAGCCATGAGTCTGGAGTGGCTGCCGACTGGCTGCTGCACCAGCTACCCCAGCGGACACCAGTGCAGGCAGGCCGACATGGCCAAGAGTGGGGCCCCGGATGGCTGCAGGGAGGGGGGAGACAGCAGCGATGGTGGGGGCGCCAGGATCCAGCTGAGGGAGCTGGACATTAAACAGCAGAGAGGCAGCCTGGTGGTCCTCTACGCACCTGCTGGGATCTCCTGTCTGCTCAGATTGGTGGGACATGGATGGATGGTAGAGGGCAGAGTGTGTCTGCTGCTCTCATAGTGAACTCACTTGAATTGAATGCGTTCATTTTGATTTCTTCATGTAAAAGACATGAAGGTCTGTAACCTGGTGGAATACATGGGGTTGCCTTTTAAGGCTGTTTCTGAAACTCAGCGCTCTCTAGTTGAAATACTCTCAACCTTTTAAATATCCAGGGAGTGTGTGTGTGTAGACACTGCACAGGTCTTGAGGATCGACCGATATGGAGCGGTACTGATTATTAGTAACCAATGAGACCGATGACGCATGATATTTGGAACTGATCACGGTGTCAAAATTTAGAATAACAAAAACTCTGACACAAAACTTGTTGAAGTGTCTTTAAGCATATCTTATCGAATAACAAGACTAAAGTGTCATGTTTAATCTTTATAAATAGGGAGTAAGGAAATGAAACATTTTTAAAGATTTTATCATAATTGTTTTGAATGGTCTGCCTCAGATTTGTGAATCTGTCTGTATTCTTGAGGAGCTGCAGAGTAACTGGATCTTTCCCTGTACAGCTAAACAGAGGCTTATTGTTGATCCTTTTCTCTCTGCTCTGCTCGCCTGCCAATCACAGGTCTTGTTCAGAGTTGTGCATGTCCAAAGTCTCGCCAACATTTGCATGTTGCGTTTCCTTGTTGGTCTAGTATAAGTACTGTTTAAAAACCAAAGAATCTTCTTTGTGTGGTTCATCAATGGTGATAAATGATTCAAATGTCCCTCAAAGTTCACGCACAACTCTGCAAATCGCCGGCGTTGCTGTTTGGTGTCTCCCTCTTCTACTGCACGCATGCACGCACACACACTCACTCACTCACTCACTACGCCACACATGTGCACTGTGAAAGGATTTATTCACGCGTTTCACGCTGGCTTTGTGAAGATTGGCTTGTGAGAATATCAAATCATTGAATCTTCCACTATACGGGGTTACCCCTCCACGAATCTGTGGTTTTTATTCTTATTTGTGCTGCTGAATGACTTCTGGAGCTGGTGCTGACAGTCAGTGTTGTGTCTGTGTTCTCTACAGAGCTCAGGAATGGAAGAGATGGTCTGGGAGCAGTACACAGTCACTCTGCAGCGGGTGAGTTCATTCATCTTTTCATCAGCCTGCAGTAAATTCTGAATTATCAATCCCCTTCTTTAACATCATATATCATTAAAATGATAGAACTTTAGTCATTTATCAGTACATCTGTCAGTGGGCTGTGTATGAAAATTCAGCTCTTGGTGTCCCTGCTTGTAACAATAGTGGTGCTGTAGGAGGGAGGCCAGAACTTGACAGAGCAAGGAGATCAACACTAAGCGTGTACACATGAGGTAGACCTAAAGAGTGATTGCTATGCAGCATAGATTTTATTGTATCTGCAGATGTTTTCTCTTCAATGTGCCATCCTTACCCCTAAAGTCCACTGACTCCGGCTACGGCGCGTTACGGCTGCGTCGCGGTTCCCGGAGCTAATAGCGGCCATTATAGTCAATGCTCATGAGTCCACCAGCTGCGGCCGCAGCGTGTCCCGGAAACGGCGCTCCGCTCTGCAGAGAATAGGTAGCAGGTCTATTTTTGCCGCTAGCTGCGTCAAGCAGCACAGAGCAGATCGAACCAGGCAGGAAGTCAGACACAGAACGGCAGAGAGAATCCGGTCAACACTCCGTGGAGACTCCCGATCGTAAAACAACAATAAACAAGCTCTGATTCTGAAATGCTCCTTGTAGGAAATGCAGCCTGAAGTTGACGGAACCAAGCATTTCATTTGCACAATAAAACCAAAAGGAACATCTCCTCATTAGCTTAAAACAGACTAGTTTGCATCCGTAACTTGCTCACCTGAGCTTGTAACCTCAGCTCCTCCACGGTGTTGAGGATGTACAGTCTGTGGACAGGACAGAGGTGTAGGCTACACCAGTTTAGTCTTAGCTTGTACTCAGCACTGGACAAGCAGGCAGTAATGAAATGCAGCTACTAAGATAGTTACTTCCTATAAATGTAGCTAATGTGAAGTGAGCAGCCTGTTCAGCTGCGCAGTCTGAAGATGAGGGGAAACGTTTGCTAGCGCTAACGGACTTCACTTTTCCAGCAGTTTGGGAAACAAGAGACAACTAGAATGGGCATTTCCTTAAGAAAATGCGTGAGAGCTGGCAGCTATTTTTAGGGCCCGAGCACGACCGTGCGAGGTCCCTATTGAATTTGCTCGGATTATTTTTTTTTTTTTTTTTTTTTTTTTTCTTTTTTCTGCAAAGTAGGCCCAAATGACATGGCCTAAACATACTCGAAAACTCACCAAAATTTGCAAACATGTCAGAACCGGTGAAAAATTTCGTATTCTACAAGTTTCGCACATGGGCGTTGCAAAATGACTCGCTAGCGCCACCTAGAAAATTGGAAAAAATTAGCCCCTCGTTCACGTTCAACCTACATGTACGAAATTTTCTGGGGACATGTATCATGTCAAGACGCACAAAAAAGCCTCAAGAACCCATAGCCTAAAGTCAACAGGAAGTCGGCCATTTTGAATTTTATGGCCATTTTTGGATGATTTACACACTTCGTACTTTAACGAACTCCTCCTAGGGATTTACTCGGATCGACGTCAAATTTCTGCTGTGCCTTCTAAAGGCATTGACGATGAAAAGTTGTGCTATTTGCGCGTTTTCGTCAATGGGCGTGTCCGTGGCGTCGATGATTCGCCATGAAACAGGAAGTTGTTGTAACTTCAGTGTACATGCTCACATCTGGACCAAACTGTACATCTAGGATGAGAGTCCCGCCCTGAACACATGTACATGCCCCTCGTTTCACCTACGTGCACGAATTTTCTGTGGTACGTGTATCTTGTCCAGACGCACAAAAAAGTCTCTTGGAGCCATAGCCTAAACCCAACAGGAAGTCGGCCATTTTGAATTTTACGTCAAATTTTGGATGATTTACACACTTCGTACTTTAACGAACTCCTCCTAGGGATTTAGTCCGACCGACCTCAAATTTGTGCTGTGCCTTCTAAAGGCATTGAAGATGAAAAGTTGTGCTATTTGCAAGTTTTCGTCAATGGGCGTGTCCGTGGCGTGGCGTCAAAGATCAACTCTTCGCCATGACACGGAAGTTGTCGTAGCTTCAGTGTACATGCTCACATCTGGACCAAACTGTACATGTAGGATGAGAGTCCTGCCCTGAACACATGTTCATGCTGATATTCACCCACAGTCATAGCGCCACCTGCTGGCAACAGGAAGTGACTTTTAACGAAGCAGCCCCCGCCGCACGTTTCACCTACGTGCACGAATTTTCTGTGGTACGTGTATCTTGTCCAGACGCACAAAAAAGTCTCTTGGAGCCATAGCCTAAACCCAACAGGAAGTCGGCCATTTTGAATTTTACGTCAAATTTTGGATGATTTACACACTTCGTACTTTAACGAACTCCTCCTAGGGATTTAGTCCGACCGACCTCAAATTTCTGCTGTGCCTTCTAAAGGCATTGAAGATGAAAAGTTGTGCTATTTGCAAGTTTTCGTCAATGGGCGTGTCCGTAGCGTGGCGTCAAAGATCAACTCTTCGCCATGACACGGAAGTTGTCGTAACTTCAGTGTACATGCTCACATCTGCACCAAACTGTACATGTAGGATGAGAGTCCCGCCCTGAACACATGTAGCGCCATGCTGACATTCACCCACAGTCATAGCGCCACCTGCTGGCAACAGGAAGTGACTTTTAACGAAGCAGCCCCCGCCGCACGTTTCACCTACGTGCACGAATTTTCTGTGGTACGTGTATCTTGTCCAGACGCACAAAAAAGCCTCTTGGAGCCATAGCCTAAACCCAACAGGAAGTCGGCCATTTTGAATTTTACGTCAAATTTTGGATGATTTACACACTTCGTACTTTAACGAACTCCTCCTAGGGATTTAGTCCGACCGACCTCAAATTTCTGCTGTGCCTTCTAAAGGCATTGAAGATGAAAAGTTGTGCTATTTGCGAGTTTTCGTCAATGGGTGTGTCCGTGGCGTGGCGTCAGAGATCAAGTCTTCGCCATGACACAGGAAGTTGTTGTAACTTCAGTGTACATGCTCACATCTTAACCAAACTTTACGTGCTTGATAACTCTCCCATCCCGTTATGGAGGACCGATCCTGACACAGCCAGAAATAAATACAGAAATAAATAAATGCTCAATAAATAAATAAGCATCCAATTAAATACACAAAAAATTAAGTAAATAAATAAATGTAGGTAGTAATTAAATTATACAAGGAGACATAAATGTATATATTTTAATTAGTGCCTTTACTTATTCACCTTTGTTATAATTACCTTATTTGTTTATTCAACTTTATTTATTACTAATTTTTTTAATGTATTTATTTATGTGTGTGTTTTAATATTTTTGTCTGTTTTATTCTTCCTTTGTATTTATTTACCTTATTTATTTTCACCCATGGTATTTATTTCTGCCTGTCTTTTTTAAATTTTTGTATGCATTTCTGCCTCATTATGCAAATGAGGAGGGGCTGTGTCTCAAGGGGTCATCTTCTCTGCTATTGGTGGACCAGTCAGACAGGAGAGCTCCTACTCTGCCTGCAGACATCAACGATCTTGCCCCTCACACAGTCAGATGGCTTCCTTCAGTGCGCTGAGGTGTTTAACAACTCTGAAGACAATACTACCAGCAATGTCTTCCTTCTCTTTTCACGTAGAAGCACCGACAGACAGTGCTTTCAGTTTGCTGCATGCATGGACACAGAACTGCGGTATAGGGAGAAGCACACGGTCAGCTGGCTGCAGCTAAATCTGGAGTGCACTCGTATTCAATTCTGTATGGTAAATTCAGTTTTAACGGAGCAGAGCGAGCTGACAGGCAGAGTTAGAGACTTTTTCTGTCTGTTTCTCTCTTTACAAAGACGCATGTTGCAGTCAGAGTCTTCTCTGAGATGCGAGCACGACATACAACACAATTTATCAAATTACACAACGGATATACAGTATGAAAATAAGATTGATTGGATTATACTCACAGGAAGTATAAAACCTCTTACATGGGTCTATTAAAAGTAAAGTAACACAAAAATGTCAGGGAAATTATTTTACTTAGATTTAAGTACTGCAGTTGTACATTTGAAATACCTTCCTACCTTTCTGATAGGAAGCCTTCTTGAGGTGGTATAAAACATTTCTTCTTATATTCTGATTTGAGTTGTGGACAACTATGACCACATGAATTAAAAAAATTAAACATTTCACTGCCCAAGTCAGCTATAACACAAGTCTTGATCATCAGACTACATGCTGTACAGTATTTGTGGACAGATTTTGTCCCAGGATTTCTTATGCATTTCTTCTTCTTCGTTACATGATTTAGAATAATAAGGTGAGAAATGGGTCTATTCTGAATTCATCCTGCACTGCAGCAGCTAATAAAGTCCATTTAATCCCCAAAACGCTTTTCTTTTAGGCAGGCTGGAGCAGAAAACAACTCACCTTTCTCAAGTTGTACAGTAATGTCACATGTGTATGAAGGTGGATCAAACAAGCTAATCTTAAATGTCAAAGTAGAGAGGAGCCTAGTAGGCCTATTTATTTTCATTCATTACACAATATGAATAAGCTATGCAGACAGTTGTAAAGAAAGAACATCTTTTTCTTCTGTTCTCTACTTGTTATAGTTACACAGTATTAGGGGTGTGGGCTGTATTAAAAGTATCCACTGTTCTCCCATGCTCTAACACACAGTAACGATGAAATGTGTGCTGTTCTCACATTCTTCCTCTGTATGTACACATAAACAACAAGGCAGGGAAATATAAAAGGAATTTATTTTATTGTTTGGGTACATTATTGTTCAGTGTACATGTTCACATCTGAAACAAACTTTACGTGCTTGATAACTCTCCCACCCCGCAGACATCTACACGTCAATACCGATTTATATTCATAGCGGCAAGTGCTATGTAGCTCCACATAGGGGACACAGGAAGTGACATATAGCACATTCATGCGGCGTCGGAACCGCGTAGGAAATTCACAGCCGCACCGGCAGAGCTCCAGAATATGCGACTCGGCCGGCTCACACGCGGACGCGCTACAAGTGC